TTTTTTTTTTTTCACTTTGGGAACATGTTCAGGCCTGCGGCGGGGGGCGGGGTCGCGCCTATTCCGCAGATCTAATTCCAGCGGAGCGTCTTGGCCGCGGAGATGGAAATCCCGAAGTTGCTCGAAGCTCGCGGGATACTAAAGTGCGGCGTTGGCGGCGGTGGCCCTGCGGGCATCCAGGTGCACAGAGAGCCTGATCCGCCGGCTGGCCAGGGGCCCGCGCGCCGCCTCCTACAATTCCGGGGCCGCCAAGATGGCGGCCCCGGGCAGCGGCGCAAACAAGCCCGCGCGACCTTACGGGGCCCAGACCCGAGTCCGCTGGCACCCAGGCCCGATCACGCTGGCGGCAGCAGTGACGTTTCTCTGGTGGTGCTGGACCCGGTGGATGGAGACGTGGAGGCCGCGCGCACCGGCCAGGCCGCGGGAACCGTGTGGAGGGAGGAGGCCGCGCCAGGCCCGAAACTTCAGGGTCCCTTGCGTGTCCTGAACCCCGTGGGCCGCCCTGAGCTGGGCTCCTACTGCGCGTCAGCAGTCCCCGTCCTGTCCCGAACCGCGATCCCCACTGCAAGGCCGGAACCAGCCACGGCCTTCTCTGGCACAATTACCATCCATAACCAAGACCTGCTGCTGCGCTTTGAAAATGGGGTTTTCACCCTGACCACGCCCCGGCCGCCCACCTGGGAGCCCAGGGTTGCTTCAGCCCGGCAGGCTGGGGATTTTCTCCTCCCACAACTGGGAGACCCGCACGCCACGCAGCACGGAGACTGCCCAGAGCTGCCGCCAGACTTCTTGCTTGCTGAGCCACCAGAGCCGGCGTCTGCTCCTGCTCCGGTGCGTGATGAGAAGGTAGAGGGCCTGGTTGCCACTGGGAGCCCCCAAGGACCACAGCACCTGAGCAGGAGCTCAAGTATGGTTCTGTATGTATGTCCCGAGATGCAGTGCGGGCAGACCTTCGCCAAGAAGCACCAACTGAAGGTGCACTTGCTGACACACAGCAGCAGCCAGGGTCAGAGACCCTTCAGGTGCCCTCTGGGTGGCTGCGGCTGGACTTTCACCACTTCATACAAGCTCAAGCGGCACCTACAGTCACACGACAAACTTCGGCCCTTTGGCTGCCCTGCGGAGGGCTGTGGCAAGAGCTTCACCACAGTGTACAATCTCAAGGCGCATATGAAAGGCCATGAGCAGGAGAACTCATTCAAATGTGAGGTATGCGAGGAGAGCTTCCCCACGCAGACCAAGCTCAGCGTTCACCAGCGCAGCCACTTTGAGCCTGAGAGGCCCTACCAGTGTGCATTTTCCGGTTGCAAGAAGACTTTTATCACAGTGAGTGCCCTGTTTTCCCATAACCGCGCCCATTTCAGGGAACAGGAACTCTTTTCCTGCTCCTTTCCTGGCTGCAACAAACAGTATGACAAGGCCTGCAGGCTGAAAATTCACCTGCGAAGCCACACTGGTGAGAGACCTTTCCTTTGTGACTTTGATGGCTGTGGCTGGAACTTCACCAGCATGTCCAAACTCTTGAGGCACAAAAGGAAACACGAAGATGACCGGAGGTTCACGTGCCCTGTGGAAGGCTGTGGGAAATCTTTCACCAGGGCTGAGCACCTGAAAGGTCACAGCATTACCCACTTAGGCACAAAGCCTTTTGTGTGCCCCGTGGAAGGTTGCTGTGCCAGGTTCTCTGCTCGCAGTAGTCTCTATATTCACTCCAAGAAACACCTGCAGGATGTAGACTCTTGGAAAAGCCGTTGCCCAGTCTCCACTTGTAATAAACTCTTCACATCCAAACACAGTATGAAGACCCACATGGCCAAAAGGCACACCCTAGGCCAGGATCTCATAGCTCAGCTAGAAGCTGGGAATTCTCTTACACCCAGCAGTGAGCTTACCAGCCAGGGACAGAACGAGCTCAGTGATGCTGACATAGTATCTCTCTTCTCTGATGTGCCTGGCAGTAGTTCTGCAGCAATGCTGGACTCAGCCTTGGTGAGCTCTGGAATCTTGACTATTGATGTGGCTTCTATGAGTTCAACTCTGACAGAGAATCTCCCTCGTAATCACAGTAATACCTTAGCACAGGCTCTGGACCCTCGGACTTTGATAGGCACCAGTGACCTCCCTCAAAATCCGGATACCTCTCTCTTTTTCGGAGCAGTGGCTGGAGGTTTTCTGCAGAGCACCTTAGATATGGATGAAGTTCCAGGTAAAAGTGCAGGGCCGCTGGGAGCTCTGGGCTCTTTGGCTCTAAAGAATTCTAGTCAAGAGATCCAAACTCTGACCCCTAGCAGTAAGTTAACAGTGGACACAGATATTCTCACTCATTCAACCACTCTTTGTGACAACAGTGTCTCAGAACTGCTGATGCCAACCAAAGCAGAATGGAACATACATCCTGCCACAGACTTCTTTGAACAGGAGGAAGAACCCCCTTTTGGATTCTCTAGTCCAGAAGGAAACCATGATTCTCAGAAAGAAACAGATCTCATCACAGTGACTGGCAGCTCATTTTTGGCATGAACTATGTATTACATTCATCATCCCATGGCTTACATCTATTACACTCAGTTTTGAGAATATTCTGGACTTAAGTGTGGTAATTTCTAATTGAGTTTCAAGTAAATAGTTCGGGGGACTAAGTATTTTAGATATCAATTTTCACTATGGATTATAAGGTGGATATTTAAATTCTGATCTTGGGTCTGGAACTGATAAGTTTTGTGACCTTGTACAAGTCACTTAATCTCTCTGAGCCTTAACTTCCTTCTTGATAAAATGAGGCTTTCATAGATTGTTTCTAAGGTCATTTTCAGCTGTGATATTTTTTCAAAATATAGAATGTCTTGCTTTGCTTACTATAATGCATGTATTTACAGAATGATTTGAAAAACTGTCCATTTTCCCACATGAAATTGAATTGAAAATTTAGATAATGTCATAATATATTTTAAAATATGCACTAGAGCTTAGCTGAAAATATGCATTGCATGTTATTACCTGTTGATCTTTCTAGCCTTCCTTTTGTGATGGAAGGATGAATTTTCACTGTGGAAAGTGTCAGAGATTTTTATATGATAAAGCCTAAGTTAAATTTTGACTTTGTGATGTTGAATAAGTGGCCTTAAATACCATATTTAGTCTAGTTAAACCTTAGTTTTCTAGCTATAAATTGGTTATTCCAGTATACATACACCTGGTACATCCACTTGTTCTTTTCTAGTATTTGGTGTTAGAATGTAAATGTTAAGTGTTTTGGCTTATTGGGTGAATGTTTAACACATTTCCTTCTTCATACAGGATAAATTAGCATGATTTAACTTCCATTTGGGCAGGCAATAAAGTTTAAATAAGAGAATCCCTTTCTTCCATTGAATAGAAAATATTTTTGTCCACACTATTGTTTGTAGACATTGGCTGCATATTTATTAGCTCAGTTTGTTAGCTATCATCTTTGTGTTCAAAGCAGGACCACAAAAATCTGGACATCCAACATCTGGAGGTTGTCTTGCCTCAGTGTCTTGGTGAGTTCATTATTTGTCCTTTCCAGAAATTGGGATGAGATATCTGTTCTTCATTTGAGTCGATTCTGTGTTTCTTACACAAGTACAGAATTTTTTAGTTTTTTGGCACTTTTATAACCATTATATTTGCCCTTCACCGTATTTTGATGTGGTTGTGGCCGTCTGGACTAAATCTCATATGAAAATTTAGCTAACTCACATTCCCAACAGATTTACCTTGGTGACTATTAATCCTATATATAGCTCATAGTACCTCTCCCTTTCCACCCTTCTGAGTTTCGTGGTTTATGAGAAGTTGCTTTCTTCTCTCAATTGATGTTTTCTACCGATTCTGATTCATTTCTACCATGCTTCCTGATTCCCTTGCATGTATATACCAAGTTTTGCCATGTATCTCTTTTTCATAAAATATTTTGATAGGTCACCATCTCTCCGCTATTCTCACAAACGGTTTATCAAGTAAAAATATTTACTGTATGTCTGTGTACTAACATTATTTTCTTGATTCATGTAGCAATGTGTTTATATTTGAATCATATAGTAAGAGGCATGTTTTATATAAGGTGTTAGTGAGAAATGTATTTCTTTTTCAGTACTTTTCAAAATTTTCCTCCCTGTTCTGTTAGTAACTGTTCTAAAACATTCTACACTAGTACTGTTTGCATGTGGATAACAATTATAATACTTTGGCAGTGCACTTTATAATTTTCCATTTTTACATGTCTATATTGTATTTATAATGTTTAAATTGTACTAATTCAGTGACAAAGCAAATACACACATATAACATACGATTGTAAGCAAATGGTCAGAGTTTCATTATGTCTGATCATTTAACAGCACTTTGGAGATTTGTCACTCTATGTCCATTTTAGAAAAGTGTTTTCATTAAGTCCTCTTAAACAAATTCTTCCTTTCTTAAAAATGAGGAATGCAGAGGTCTGAGGTGAATAAATGGGTCCCAGTCATTAGTTAAATTATATAACCACAAAGATAATTTAAAATCCTCTGACATAGGATCTGTCATTCAGATTTACTTCTTTCCATTAAAAACTATCATAAACTATAATTTGTTATAGTCTAAAATTTTCTAAGTAGATGTTTTACTTATTTCAGTGATAAAAACTTTATCCATGTATGGGCTCACAAGTTTTCTTTCAATCTGTTTAAGAAATTTCTCTTTCAAGACCATATTCCCAATAAAATGGTCAGAAGAACCGAAGATTACAGTAAGAAATGTAGCTAGAAGCATAGCGGTTGTATTTTTGTTGATGTTGGCATAAATTTGCCATTGTTCTTCTAAAAACTGAGATGTAATTTTATCTCTTTTGCTGTCTGTTCTTTTCACATTCTTGATTTATTAGAATTTTGCCAGTTGAAGACACAATAACAAAATGCTTCACTAGAAGGCCAGCTTCCTGGGAATTCTGTTGAGCATGTTCCTCATAAATTAAAATATTGTAATATTGCCATTTTTACCAGTGATTTCATTGTGTTGTGGTTGTCATATGAGTCAGTTGTGACTCATAGTGGCCTCATGTATAATATAACAAAATGCTTGTGCACAATTTTATAGACTATGTTGTTGTTGTTGTTGTTGTTGTTGTTATGTGCCGTCGAGTCGCTTGCAACTCATAGCGACCCTATGTACAACAGCCCTAAACCCTGCTCTATCCTGTGCCTATCTCACTGCCTCTGACACATCCATCCTGATTACCCCAGTCACTGAATCAATCCACCTCAT